GAAAAATGATAGGGTTTCCGGATTTTTGGAAAAGGATCACTTTTTCTGGAAACCTTCTAGCGTTTCCGGATTTGTCACTTTATGAAACGCATTTAAGGTTTCCGAAAGTCGAAAACTCATTTTTTCCTTCCAAGAAACTTTTTAAAGGTATCCGAGATCAGCCCGGAAAAGAATTCAGGTTTCCGAAATCAGTCTAGAAACCTATATGGGTTTCTGAACGCTCTGAAACCTATTCTCCTGGGTTTCCAAGAAAACGATTTTTATTTAGAGTGTAAAGCGAGAAAAACCGCGGTTAACCGATGGTTTTGGCCTAGTTTTCATCACATGGGATTATTGGTACTTCTAAAAATGAAAATATAGCTTCCATCGAAATTTCATGTATTTCATATAATTGTGAAAATAGAAAAATGCTCACACATGGAAGAAATGTAGAATGTTGACAGTGATACAAGTACAGATGCAAGGAAGTTTTGTTCAAGTCTTTTATATAGTGACATAGTGCTGTTGCGCCTGCGTTTGATATATCCTACGTAGTCCAAAATGGCAGCTTGAAGCTGTTTACGTACATTTCGAAAGCCTACTGTAGGGTATGGCAAACCAGTTAAATTTCGAAAATATTCCTGATAGAATCTATTATTGGCTAAGAGTGGCTCATCGTACGCGCTCTTGGACATTGGAAGAAGATAACGAGGAATGCTGCCTGGACTGTCACCACTGCCAACTATAGCTGCCTGCATTCGAGGTGTACCCATGAATTCAGTAAATAAGCGGGAGGCATTCAAAATATCGGCAGTCATGTTTCGTCGAAAGACAAATGCGTCAGTAAAAAAGAGAGGTTGATTTCGAACACTACCTATGGATAGTGGAATTACTTTGACATTGTTATACTCATTTGAGTTGCCATATTTTAGAACACTAAAGAGTCTTTCAGCAAAGCCAAACATCGCTGCAGCCTGATGACGTGAAAATAAAATAGTTGGTATATCATTGTTATTAGTAAATGTTCCATCGAGACAATGATTCTCGTCTTCAGACCGATTACAGAGCTCGACAAACTTGCGCATATTTTGAAAAGAGTTCTTCGTATAATCATGAAGAGCGAACGCCATAACTTCAGATGCAGAATTATCGCTATCTTGATAGCTAGTAACCCATAGAGCCGGTAGGTCCCAATCCGAATCCAGATTTCCCACCAAACGATATTTGGTTGTAGGCGTGCTGCTCAGAGCTTTAATGAGCTGATCAATTGTGCTCGCGGCAGCTACCTGCTCGTCACGGGTGAAAAGGAAAAATGAGCACATCAGATGTGGAAAACCATATACTGCTTGATTGATCTGTACCGAAGTGGCGGCAACGGAATGCCAATCAGCCTGGCTAGTTGAAGTAATAAATTGTGGAGCGATAAGGCCAGCATTAACAAGATCACCTAGAATTGTAGTATCAACTTCAACAATATCGTATCCACTGCCATCGCTCATAAGCCATTTAGTGAGTACATCCAGATCCATAATATCATCGTTGAAATTTATAGGACGTAATTGAAGGGTAATATCGGAGTAAATTTGCTTAAACTCGTCTGTGATGAATTGAAGTAGGCCTTTGTAGTTGTCACCACCAGAATCAGGAATGTAGGGAAAGAAAGCGACTTTCAACGTTGTCTTGCTCATTTTGTTGGTGCCGTTATTCTGAATCGTAGGCAACATGTTTAAGGTAGCTTCCGTCAGTAATGTACTAATTTGTGACAGAAGAAAAATTAGTAAAATCGCAACGAACCCTCTGAAATACATTGCTGACTATTCTAAACGAAACTAAGATATAACAAAGACAAAAACAAAAAAAGTTTGCTCGACCTCCTGATCGTAAAAACAATCAATCTCACTATCTTGAGGATGAAAGTAAGTTGCAGTTTACAATTTATAACTTCTATTCGAAAATACGTACTATGAAGTAGTTATCGTAATGCGTTCTGATCCAACAAAAGATCACATTAGGTAGTTGTATATATTGTTCTTTTATTGAAGAGAAAAGTCAACGGCCTTGACGAACCGACAATAAACAAATAACTCTTCTTTTTAAATTGATTCATTTCAGTATAGCAATCATAAAAAAAAACATTAAAGTTTATTATTTTATAGTAAAAAGATAGGAAGCAATAGAAGGCGATAATATGATGATGAGTTTCAAAACAAAAAAAAACGATGATAACAACGAACTGTAGTCGAACAAGCGTTACATTAGATTTTTATTGTGCAACATGTTTGTTTTCAATGTTTCATCCACTTTCTTATTTTCGAAATCGTTGAAGAATAAACAAATAATTGATGCCTTAAAAAATAAAAAATACCGAGAACTATTCTCAAAGTATGTATATTGACTCATTTGTTCTGAAATAAATTACCTACATGACAATACTTCACATTTTGAATGCAGTTCCATACGAGTTGCTAATTATCAGAACTGCACATAGATTGAATGTTTGAAAAATGACCTTTGAAAAAACATTGTGCTTTTATGCTATCCATAATGTAAGCTTTTGTGAGATTTTCATTCTGTTTTTTTTTATCAGTTTAGGCTTATCAAGAATACTGAACAAATGAAAAATTAAAGAGAAGATCCTAGTCTCAACTAAAGAATGACATATTTAAATAAGGAATGGCTGGTGGTAGAGGCTAGGTGGGTACAAATGAAGAGAAGATTCGTACATTCAACTCTACCCTCTGCACTAACGATTAATTTTGTTTTTGTTGCAGTATGATAAGATAATTCATATGAAGAGTTGGAATATCAATTCATTTTTTTCGAATTACTTGTTTTTCTTATTATGCATATAAATCTTTTCTTAAAAGTACACCAATGTTAGTGTGATCTTGAATCCATTGTTGTAAGTTTACTTATATCTTTAGCTTTGTTATCATCAAATGTATAACCAACTAAATAAAAAGCTGTGAAGAACGATTCTAATATTTTATTTTCCTATTTAACAACGGCTATAAAACATAAAGAAACAATATTTATGTACATAAGAATTCTAGACTTTTCAAATGCTTATCATAGATTTCTAAATCTTTGTCGTTTATAAATACAAATAAAGTGTTCATGCTTATGATGAATTAAGATTCGCATATCTATACCAAATTTTTTCATGCAGAGTATTCAAAAAAACGAAAGTGAATACCTTGAAACATTAAAGTGTATTTCATAGTTCATTATATAATGACTCGAAAACATGACCATCTCTTCTATATATTTAATCAAAATAATCTTAATCATTATTTCTTTATTCATATCAGCAACTGTAATTAATTTATAGAAACATTCACTCCAGGAACCAAAAGCGGATATACAAATGAAGGCAGTTTTTATCACAAAAAAACTAATAAGGAATCCTTCGACATGAATTCCATCCTTCATTTATGTTTTGTCTACCAAAAATAAATGTGCTTGAGAAAGGTATGTCATCATATATATGTTCTCTAAAGATTATCGTAGATGCTATATGATCTGGAGTCGAAAAAGATAGAATATATCGATATGATTTATTATTCTAAAATATTGTCTCACGAAGGAGCTTTAATTTCTTTTCTCAGATACGAACAATATTATAATCATTAACCATAAATGATAATTTTCGATAGTGTATCAGGATATAACATTGTCTTTTTTCAATATATCATTACATAAACAATATAATAAAGCAAAACGAATTATTTCTAATGTTTGTTCAATATCAGGTGCAGAAAAGTGTTACAGAAGATTTTCCTAAATAATCAGTTTCGATTAACATCTAAAAAGAAAAAACATCTAAAAGAAAATTAAATTGAATGCTACCTGGTATCTATTGTTTCATTTGACTAAAGTTGATGCTTCCTTCTTTTTCTTATTATCAATTTAATCGAATTCTTAGGCATCAACATAACAAACTTAATTTTTCAAGAGGAAACTTTACATTAGTATCCTGCACGGGTATGACATTTCGCCATTGTACCCAGACCAGAACTAATCGACATCAAGCAGATAATTTCATAGTCACAGTGTGGCTCTCAAACTTTTATTTGATATGAAAAAAGTATATTATTTTGTATTCTCCATAAACAGCAACAAAAAGAAGTCATTTAGAATTTCACAAAAAAGCAAGTGAGTCAGGATTCACTTATTGTCTTGCTGTTTGCTATTGATGATGTCAAATGTCATAATTGGAAATACATACATGAATGCTTTTTACATCGCGATAATGCATGGTGACCTTTTTATCACTTCTGTGCCTTTCTATAAATAGAACTTTGACGAAAGTAAAAATATCTTGAAACTTTGAGATTTCATTAACTGTCGCATTAAACCCGACTGAGTCACAGGACATGATTGCACATATCTTTTTTCTATCTTTCGTTGTTTCTTTACCATCCGAATAATAGAAATGTAAATAATTTTTTATTACCTGTTCTACATGACTTTAAGTATCCTATCGGTTTCTAATTGTATTTTATTTCAGTTATCTTTGCTTTATAGAAAATTATCTTCCCTAATTGCTTACATTATGAAAAATTCAGACACTAGCTTATTTCTAAAGAAAGAAATTTGAAAATACAATAATGCGATATTTAACAAAAGAAATAGAGTAGCTGTTACTAAGTAACTTTCACGTGTACGTCAAAATACTTTATAATCTCTGATAGTCGACTGTATTCTTTTACTTTTATTTTGCAAACTAATCGTCCAATAATCACATTCCAAATGCTTCATATCTATACATTTTCGACATTGTTAACTATTCGTTTTTGTTAATAAAATAGGTTTCTGATAACTCGCTGGAAATCAATCTTTCATTAGTTTATCTTCGAATTAAATAAAAAGAATAAAAAGAAAAAACCAAATCAATTTTCAGTTTTATTATTTATTTGAAACAAACAAAAAAAAATCACTGACAGAACAAAAAAAGAGATAAACAAAATCAAACTAACACATAATGATAAAAAATAGAAATATATACAAAACAAAACGCGTTATTTTGTGTTTGCTATTGATGGATAGTGATAATAATTTTGTAAATGTTGTTGATTATATAATAAATATCGTTGTAATGGATTTGGATGTAATAATTGTGATTTTTGATGATTATGAAATTGTGCCATATAAAATAAATAAAGATAATTTGGATCAATTGTTGTTGGTGTTGGTATTGGTTCATTAATAGTTGGTTTTTCAGGTACACGTTCAATTAATGATTCAATATTTCTTAAATCATTTTTTACAATTGGACGAGTATGATTTGTTAAACAAGCTCGTTTATTTGTATCTTCATCTGTTGTTGATGGTGAACGAGATCTTTTCATTGATTGATGATCATGAGAATATATTGGTGATATGATAGGTATTGAACGATGATGATTCGTTGTTGGTGAACATGTACTAATTGATGTTGTTGATGATAAACTTGGTGTACGTTTTATATTAATAGAATCATTCTCATAATGATTATGTGATTCAATATCAATATAATCATTTTTTTCAGAAGAATTTTCAATTGAATGATATGTAGGTATTAAAGGAATTTGTGGTTTTTCAAATAAAATTCTTGATGTTGAGTTTGTATTCGTCGATAGATCAAAATTGAGACGTCTAAATTTAATAACTCTATTGCTTGACAAGATTCAAGTATAATTATAGTCAAAAAAAAAAGAAAAGCTTTAAGATAAAACATTAAGATAAATAAAGAAAAAAAGCTCATTCGTCTCATGTTAATATGTACTCTTGGGCCAAAAGAGATAACAGTTAATATTAAAAAATAAAACTAACGCGAAAATCTTAGTTAACAGAATCAAATGAGGTTTAAAACCAATATGTCTATTCAAATAAAAATCTCTTTCGTGTTCATTAAAGCCATCTGGTCTTATGATAAAACAAGAAGACAAGAAAAAGAAAGAAGGTTGTATATGCCTCTTATTTCTTTCTATCCATTTGCATCCATTATCACACATTGAAAATAAGTGATCACAGTCAGGTTTTTGTCACTAGATAAATGTATTTATATATATACAGTAAAATGGACGACAGATCAATCAGAATATGAGAGAGAGTGAGATCGCAAATTGAACGTGACACATCAGACATTCGCACGCACACGTTCAAATCACAACAAAATACATATATATATATATATATATATACATTTTAGTCTTTTTATATCAAATGATGATAAACGACAAATGAAGGAAGCTACTTTATTTATCCAGATATATATGTGTATATATGATAGAGTAATGTAAGTGAGATGAGAGTGCCTCGAGAAAAGAAAAAGTGATAGATCATCAAAAGAAGAATGATGAACTCCACTTGAATCTTTCGTTTTTTCTTTCGTTTTTTTTCTCATTTCAAAAGATAATATAAATGAATAGAGAGACTACCGGTATTCGGTTTTTTTTCTCTTTGTATTCATCTGTATCTATTTACATACATATATGCACACTATTACATAAGTACATCTGTGATGTATCGCTTTTACACGGATACTAATCGAAGTTGATCAATCTTAGCCAACCATCGTTTCGTATGTACATTATTCAATGAAAAAAAAAGAAAAAAAATCGAAATACGCATATATACCTTTTATCTCGCTTGCTTGCCGCTCCATTGTCTCGAAAACCTTTAGCAAACGGGTTATTGTCTATTTTCAATTGGGTAATCTATCAAACATATTATTACATTAATAAAAAAATAAACGGAAGAGAAAGAAAACGAGCAAATTTTGATTACTTTTTCATTCTGATAAGCTGTAACAGCAATAAATTGTGTTTCTTTAAATATAAAGGTTTTTATTGGTGACCATGGAATTTTAATTAAATCATTCGTTTTAACAATATGTAATCTTGGTTGATATTTATGCATTGAATTGAGTATTGTCTAAAGACAAAAAAAAAAAAGAAAGAAAATTCTTAATCATTCCTCGTATTCTTTATTGTCTGCCACTGTCGTCATAAAATAGGAAACTTGACTTGCACCTGAATGAGTGTTGTTAATAGAGTGTTATTCGTTGGTAAAAAAAAAGAAAAAGAAAGAAATCTCCTTTATCAACACATTTTATGACAAGCAAACAAATCAATTTTTCAAATTGACGTTAAATAGACTTTTTTCCCCTTATTGGCAGAGTAGTTTCGTTTTTTGCGTTTTTTCTTTTTACGTTTTCTATGGCTCATTAGATACGTAAAGAGAATCTTTAAGGTGAAATATAGTAACGATCGATTGTCAAGATAGACAAGCATACGGCGACGATATCAAATAAACTGATCGAAACAAAACATTAACTTGTTTATAACTCTAGAGTAAATGATAATGGATAGAGAAGAAGGGAAAAAAAAATAAAATAAAACATGATGATTAATGAACATTTTTATTATCTACTTACATAAGAATTTTTATCGGAGATATTATTTGTTAATTTAAGTTTATGAAATGAAACAGATTTCGACATCCATTGTTCACCTTAAATTTTCAATAATATAAAATTTATAAAAATAAAAAAAGCAAAAAAAAAACCAAATATTTAATTGATAAACCTGTTGCTGGTGAATCTGGATGAACATAAAGACGTTTTGACATTTCCGGATCTGCATTACCAGCAATCATCCATTTAGAATTATGAAATTTATATCTATGAGAATCAGCTGCTTGAATATCCATTAAAAAGACATATTTAGCTTGTGGATTCAAACCAGTTACTTTAACTTTAAAAGCTGGAAATATTCGTCTACGAAAAACGAAAAGATTTTTTTTATATAAATTATTTTCTTTTTTATCTCTTACCGTCCACTTTTTGTAATAACCTGAAACAAAAGAAAAAAAAAACAAAAAGAATTCTCTTTTTTTTTTCTTATTTAAAATTTTATGATATTACCATTTCAGTTCCGTGTGCATGAAAAGCATCCCATAATTGTTTATTTTCTAACTCAACTTTAAGATCAGGATCATCATCATCATCATTATCATCTTTAAGTTGTTGTTGGGAATGACTACTGTCAATTGTATAGGATGATTGATTAAGAAATGGATTAATAAATGAACGTGTTGTTGTTGAAAATATTGAATTAATATTAGCACCAAGTGGTGCTGTTAAATTAACAAGAGGTCGAAAACCCATACGCATGTGTACGTATAAACCTGTCGATATATTCGCTTTGTCAAGTGTGCAAGAGCTTCACGCTTCACCTCGGTTGTTTGTCGCGCTTTTTTCTCTTTTTCTCTCTCTCGCTCTATTGAAAAGGTGTAGTGTATGAATTCGTTTTGCGTTATCGAAATATACCGTTGATAGCCAATAAGAAAAAAGTTTACGATGACGAGACCAATAGGACGAATAAAAAGCGCCCAAAGAAAAAAGAGAGAAAAAAAACGAAAGAAATAATGAATGGTCGACTATGTTACATACAGGTGAAAGTAAGAAAAGAGAAAAAGGCAATCAATTACTGTATACACAGCATCCTCAAAAAGTGTGAGCAAATACTGATTTTGTCTCCTTGATCCTTATTCCGTTAGAAAAAAAAAACCTAACTTGAGTCTGTACACACATATCGATTTTTTTTCGTTTCTCTATTTGTTGTGTCATTGACACATAAATAGTCTATTCTCATTTTGCTGTCATTACTCATAAAGATAACAATCTATTCTTGCTAAAGCATTTCGTCTTTTTTTTTACATCATTGACGCTTGATTAAACTCGAGGATAACGAATAAAATAGGAAAGCAAAGAGAAATATATTTTATTACACGAATGATATCAACTGTGAAATCCGTATTTATATTTCTAATTGTTTTTTTGCCACTAAAATATTCAACGATAAATATATAGTCAAGTATATAGACATTGCACTAAATGACGCTTTTGTGATAAGATGTGAACAAATTGAAAATTTTTGTTTGTTAGTGGTCAAGAGCAGCGATTAGAATTGATGACTGATTACCCTTCTTTCTTTTTTCTTTTTTTTATTCTTCTTCGACTCTCCGTAGAAATAAGAGATCAAAGAAAGTTCACGTGCCATCTTAAAATATATTTTCAATCAAAGAACGTGTCTCGTAAGTCATTTTTGTGATTTTTGTTTTATTTTATTTAATATGATACCATAGAAAGTGTATAAGATGGGAACGGATCATTACTTGTTAGAAATAGTAAAAAAAAAAAGAAGCACTGCATCAAACAAATATACACACCCGTCGGATGAAGTTGCCTGTAAATAGACGTATACAATAAGACCAAACGAGGTTTTTTTTTCGTGTTCGATTGATTTGTTATGGTGCCTCTAAGGTGTTGTCTTGTGATAATCACAAATCGAAAGTGTAGAGCTACTTTTCTTGGAACCAATCATTGACGGATATGACAAAATTTTTCGCAGGTGTGAAGAAATTTAATGATGATAACTGATTGAGTATTTAAGTTTCAAGTGTTTTGAAAAGTTTTTAAGATTATTTGTTTGATAGGTTCCTTATGATAGTTTTCACAATTAGTATGAATGATTTTTTTTTGTTCATTGATTTAGTAAATATTAGGTGTGTTTCATGTACAAAGAAATTAAGTATAATTATGTTTTGATTTAAATGAACTTGTTCTTCGAATTTTATATATGTTTTTTTATTATACATAGAAAGATAAGTGAATAATGAAGAACATGATTAGCTATACATACTATTTATGCTCTTATCTTAGTCAAGAATTTAATTCAATTTTCTTGTAGCATATTTGAATTAAAATAGGAAATTTAGAATTGCTTAATTGTACAGACGAAAAATCTGTGTAACATAGGAGTTCCTGTATTGAAAACTATATTATCAACATACAAGGAAAAGAATATGGCAATTCTAATAGATTCTCACTGTCCCTAACTAGAATTTTGGTGGTACAGTGAGTGAAAAAGCATTTTTTTTTGCAGCATACATTCAAGACGAAACTATAGAAAATTCATCAAAGGTTTTTGGTATTTAATAATGTTTTCATTAGTGAATATGAATTCAAAATTGAATTTACTATGTGATAGATTTTTATCTTTATTAATTTGAATTTGTTCTGTCTTCAAAACCTATAACGATTGCTAACATAGCATTGAATGACAAAGTCTGTGATCATAGAATTTTATGATATGATTTATTATATATTAAGAAGAAGAAAAAAAAATAATCAAATGGATAAAATAAAAAGAAAATTGTTTTATTTTTTAAGGCTTCCATTTGATAACTTTCGCCGCAATTTGTGCATGTTTCGCTAAATTAGGTAATCGATGATTACTGTATTGTTCAATCTAAAAATACACAAAAAAATAGTGAATATATCAAAATTAGTTCATTTACTTGATCAACAGATTCAAGTAATTGTTGTCTTCCTTCTGGTGCTTCAGCAATACATGCAATAACCTAAGCCGAAAAAAAAACATCCTTATTAGTCATAGCAACCAAAAATCATAATTTTTTACTTTAAGTGCATTGACAACTAATTCACTCGATTCATTTTTAAGCATAGCTAAAAGTTTTGGTATCGCACCAGCTCTAATTGTACAATATTTTCCTGGCGTAATAATACAAATACTAGAAAAAAAATAATATGAATTAGACTAAAAACCATCTAAAATTTGATTATATCAACATACATTGAAAGAGCAAGTGCTGTTTTACTTTTCAATGCATCATTATTTGAATCAAGTAAAGCCACTAATCGATCAACTGTACCAATTTCTACAGCACGTTCTTTACCTTTAAGTGAAACACTAAAATCAATAAAAATTCAATTAAATCAAACTTTTTATTAATTAATTTTTAACCTCAAATGAAATATTGTTAATGTTGCAAGTGTTTTTATTTTATCAGATGGGTGATCAAGTAATGATGTTAATGTTGACATAGCATCAGCTGTAAGTGCTTGTTCAACATCAACCATTAAACAAAAATGAATTGTATTTAATATTAATTCCTATTTAATAAAATCAGAGACATGACAATAAAATATTTTTTTATTATTATATAAATTAACATACTTTGATTTCATCAAGTTCACTAATCAACTTCTTAAGAAGTGTATCAACAAGACGAAGTTCAATAAGATTTTGTGCACCTAAAAAACATAAAGCTTATTAATAGTTTTATGATATAAAGCTATATATACCAGGTGGTGCTTCACTATACATAGATACAGCTTTATGAGCATTTCGTCTAACTGATGGTTCTTTGTCATCAAATAATTCAGCTAAACGTGGAATTACATTACAAGTAAGCATTGCTTGACGACCAATAGCATGACCTATTATTTTATATTTCGTAAAGAAAAAGAAAAGAATTTTTTTCGAATATTATTTACTGGCAATAACATAATAACATTCAGCAGATTTTAAACGACAAAATTGATCCTTATCTTTGAGTAATTCAAGTAATGTAGCTGGAATACCTTGAAATATAAAAAAAATCAATAAAGAATTATTTTAATTGAAGAAAAAAACTTTCAAAAAAGAACCTTCATTAAGACATGGTAATATATGTTCTGGATCATGAAGATAATCACATAATGATCGTACTGCACGTTGACGTAGTAAAAGATCTTCACTTTTAAGTTCTCGATTCTAAAAAAGAATAGAATATTTAAATTATAGTCCTGTGAGACAAACAGATTTTAGAATTATTCAGCAAGACTCTCAAGTAAGCTAAAGTTTTTTTTTGTTGGCTACAGTATTATATTCGACGGATTTAAAAATTTTTCTTCGAAGGACAAATCATAGGTTAAATGACATAGTATCTTCTATGATGAAGTTTGGATTTTACAGAAATCGATTTTATCTATGGCAATGTCGATTATTATAGCAATTTAAAAGAAAACTTGAGTATTGCAAATATCTGACGAAGGAACATCCACATATGTCGATTGTCTTTTTTGACCAAAACTATATTCAGACGACAGCCTATACTGTGTAGCATCAAGGTTATCCTGAAGATAGAATTTTCAGTTTCGACTTGAAATTTTGCACACCAATAAAGTTCTTAGTGACAATAGATCATTGCTTTCTTTTGTAAGAAAATATTCAATGTTCATATTTCCGATTCGGAGATACAAAAATCCGTCAAACTTTTGCAACACACTAATATCATTGGAAGCTTTATCTGTAAAACATTTCAAGTCGAAGCTTGAAAATCAGTGAAAGTTTGATATCTAAAGAGCAAACATTCAGACAACTGAACTCTTATAGATATTCATACTACTCATCAGTGTCTATCGTCTGAAAACTTAGTCTCAATCTAAAAGTGATGAAACATTCAGGAACGTTCCCTTATGAAGTATCGATTTTTTTCTAAGATTTTGATAAAGGACAAGAAGTAATATCCAATGTTTCATTACATTTCCTTCTTACTAGCTGTAACTATCGTAACTTAAGTGATTCTTCTCGTTTGATATATATTAACATTATGCAACTAATTTTCATTAATGCTATTAAGTACTGGTAAAATATCTGTTGTATTTAGCATAATTGTTAAATGTGTCTGGAATTAGATGATCTAGAAAAATTTATTATTGTCTACTGCTTTTTAACTAATTTTTAAAAATCATCTATACAAAATAGTAAAATATCGATTCAAACAATCTGAGGTTCGACTTATGGGAATAATGAAACATATATTTTCGATTGATTTACAGTTCATTAACTTTCAATTAACTATCTAACAACAGTACAATTGTATTCCTTGAAAAATCAGTCCAAAATGTAGTGATCTTACTAAACGAGGAACAGCACGACTAAGAAATGCAAGTGGTGTTCGTGTTGGATCAACAAGTTGTGGATAATGTGTTGGTATTGTGCTTGAAGCCATTTATTTTGAACTTGTGATTCTAACAAGAAATAAAATAAAATTTGTTACATTCCATTATAAACGTTTAATCTCAAAACGTTTCTAAGCAACATTGACAGCAGTGGCATCTAATATATATTCTCCATTGGTTAAGATCTGTTTACCAATCATAGGAAATGCTGTTGAGTTTTTTTGTACAGAATGATAAGATTTGTTATTTATTAATTAAGGAAACAATTTAAATAGATTGTAATACATTGTATAAGATGGCAGCAACAAATTATGTTGTTACAGTTCAACGACCTACACAAGTAACAGCACTTGCAACAGGCTATTTTACATCATCAACTGAATTAAATTTAATTGTTGCTAAAAATACACATTTTGAAATATATATTATTGGTTCTGAAGGTCTTAAATTAGTCAAAGATGTTTGTCTTTATGGACGAATTAATATACTCAAATGTTTTCGTTTAAGTGTAAAAGAAAAACATACCAAAATTAATAATAATTTTCTATTTATTTCTTTTCTTTTCTTTAAAATAGAATATGAACAAAGATGTTTTATTTATTTTTACGAATAAATATCATGGAATGATATTAGACTGTCGAAAAACAGAAAATGATCAATATGAAATATTAACAAAATGTCATGGTTTATTAAAGGTAGATTTCAATATTTTTATTAAAGATGTGTGAAAGAATAGTTACATCCTATAATTTTGTAACGTGATCAAACACGTGTCAACTGAGGATGTTTTTAAGTTATACAATGTTTGTAACTGATAGGATGAAAACAGACATGGTTTCAAGATAAATTCGTTTAAAAATACATAAAAACAAAATCTTTGAATCTGGAAATAGTTGGTGGTGTACAAGAGTTTCAAATTTATCTTCGATTTAGTGTAAAGTGCTATACTCTGTTCACCAGTTAGAATTCAAAACTAAAAAGTTTTGAATCAACTTAAATATCGGTACATATCGAGCTACCGATGCTGATATCAAGAGTATGAAGTAAATAAAATAATAAATTGAATTACTTGAAAAGTTTATGTGTATTTTAATGACCTGTTTCACATAATCTTGTCTTAAGAACTAATAGATAATTAGTAAAACAAAGATAATTTCAAAAGATCTGTGCTTGTCGCCATGACTGAGGGATTAACTCGGTATGTATGTACAAGACACTGTGTTCCAAGCTCAGTATTATTAGCGAAGGAAAAGAAATTGAGCAGAAGAACTCTGTATTAGGTTGGCCTTCTATCCAGAGCTACAGTCAGCACTAATTGTAGGAAGAATTGTTCGTTCCAGTTTTGACGCATTCTCTCTCTTATACCTGGATATTCTGTATGGATAATTCCAGACAGAAGTGTCGACTTGGGAAATGAAAATATCGAATTATGATGATGTATATTATAACTTCTTCAAAAAAAACAAAACTTCTGTTGTAAAAGATTAATAGATAACTGAAGATGTACATTCGAAATCATTTGATCTTTTTTTCTACAATTCTACAAATAAATTATATTTCAGGATACTGGTCGACCTTCCATTCGACAGCCATTATGTACAATTGACACAAAACATGGTCTTATCTTATTACGTATATTAGAAGGAGTTATTAAACTTATTTATCTAAAAGATTTATCGTCTAAAGAGTCTTCATCAAAAAATCTTGAAGCTTATAATATTAAGTAAGTAAATAATTCTTAACTAATTTTATATTCCAAACAAAAAAAAAAAATTCTTATTTAGAATTGATGAACAAAATATAATTGATATTCAATTTTTACCTGGTCATCAAAGACCGGCATTTATAATTTTACATTCAGTAAATCATTAATGACTTATTTTTCTTTTCTTTTCTTTGTTTTTTTTTTACAATAAATAATATCTTTTTTTTTATTATTAAATAGTGTAAACCTGAATCATATTACGTTATTGGTAAAGAACCAGAAGAATATAATTTACATACATATGAAATTGAAATAACAGAACACATAATATCTCGATTAAGTTGGAAAGAAAAAATCACAAAATCTGAAGCATCATTTCTTATCCCATGTAAAATTTATTTAATCAAATTTTTATTGCTATTTTTAAGTATTTATATTTTTTGTTTTGTTAGTTGGACAAAATGAATTCAGTTGTATTGTTATCGGTCGAAATTCTATTGGAATATATAAAGAAAATGAACAAAGATTAGAAATTGAATCACCTTTACTTGAAGTAAACATCGATGTATAAATTTATTAGATATTTTCTCTTGTTGTGTTTCAGGAAACAACATCTTTAATAAGTTATTGTCCAATTGATGATGGCCATCGATATTTAGTAACTGATGATTGTGGTAAACTTTATTTACTTATACTTGAATCTGATAAACATAATGGAAATTTATCAACAACAATTACTGATCGAAAAGTAATATTAAAAGAAAAAAAGAAAATATTTAGTTTTGTTTTGTAATTTTTTTTAGTTGAATCTACTTGGTGAAATATCAATTAGTGGATATATAATTTATTTAGATAATAGTGTTGCTTTTGTTGGTTCCAATTTTGGTGATAGTCAACTTATTCGAGTATATGAAATTCATTTTTTTTTTGAAATTATTTTTCAGTATTTTTTCTATTATAATTTAGCTTCTTCCAGAGCCACAAAATGGTAGTCATTTAGAAATACTTGAATCGTATACAAATCTTGCACCTATTCTTGATATGTGTCTTATTGATCTTGAACGACAAGATCGACAAGTTAGATGCAAAATAATTTAATGTTGAAATTCTGAAAATAATTTTCATTTGTTTTTTGTGTATAGTTAGTAGCATGTTCAGGACTTGCAAAAGATGCATCATTACGTTTTATTCGAACTGGTATTGGAATTCATGAACATGCATCAATTGATTTACGAAATATTAAAGGTTTATATTTCATTTTCTAGAGAAAATAACGAGTTGATTTTTTATTTATATTATGAAATTTTATGAATTCATAGCAATCTATGATGCGAAAGTTTTGCTATAAAATATTCATTCCTTTATTCGGCTGTTGAAAGACAATATCGGTTAGAATCAGACTTTTTCGATTTTTCTGAATATTGGTTCAGAGTTTCTTTCCGAAGTAAGATTGGACAATTGAAGAGTGACCGAAAAGCTTCGATTCCTCTCATAAGAAAACGTTGTCAAATGATTGATCACTTTTGAATTCGAATTTAGTGCATACGCGAGAGTTTAGTGTGATACGCAAAACTTCAAAAAGATAGATTGCCTTAGGCATTTTACTAGAGTTTAACTTTCTGACGTGGAATATACCAACAAACTGAATAATGATATTTCCAACTGAGATTTTGCCTTATAGACAAGTCTAATTGTTAATAGAAGCTCGGAAAATTTCCGGTTGAAATATCGTCATTCAATTTGTTGGTAGTAAAATGTCTATTACTTATGCTTAGTAATACTTAAATGTAGCACTTACTTTACTAATCTTAAGTGAATATTTTCATCTTACATTTTTTGAAAAAAATCAGAAAAGAAGAAATTGTTCTGAAAAAGAAGCGTCAGAATGCTTTGTAAGTTTATAAGATTGTCATTTTGTATAAATGTCAATAAAAACATTTTCTGATGCATTGACCTTGTTTTCGGACGATTGCTTTTAACCTTTTTGAAACATTATTAATCATTTTCTCAGAATTTTCTATACTAATATTTCTTCATGCATGAATAATTTTTCCTTTGGCATACTCATATTTACTCAAGCCTTGTTGAATGACGCTTCACAAGTTTTCTATTGGCTATATATATCATTTACATGGTATTGAAATGAATATTGAAGGTTTTTTTTTTTAAATAAAATTGTCGGACAGACAAATCGAAGCAACTGATGTATTAAAGATTAAATTGAAAACAATAAACTTTATAAAATAAGACGATTGCTAATGTAAAACTTTTTACCAATATGAAGCATTATAAAATTACACTCATAATCAGAAAATATGCTGAATATTATTTTATTAAAATGAAAATTTAAGCTTAATAAAATGACTACAACATTTATACATTTCGAAATGTTGTTTTTTTCCTATGATGGCTCTCATCTTTACATATTTTGATCAATTAACTATATATAAGTCTGTTATAGATATCATCGGATTATTTCAACCGATCCAACATAGGGGTTTTATAAAGTACTATTTTGATTAGTTGTATATGTCGATTGAGCCATAATAAATTCAAAGTGTGAAACACTTTTTGATGGCTTAGTTTTCTAGAGCAAAGCTTGCTCTACAAAGCGGGCTAATTGCTTTTCTATTTTTCCAAAGTAGTTTTTGAAACATGATTATCGATTTTCATAGAAACTAGCATTTTATCCAAGATACAAATTAAGGACTGCACAAAAACCCTTATTTTGCTCTTCAACAACACAATTCCGAACTTTTTTCTTACGAGATTTTCTAACTAACCAATAATCTTTTATTAAACGAAACAATGAACGAATATAATTTGCTCAGACTTTCACATCATATCATATGCTATTTATTTTCGAAATTGATAACATTGTGTTAATATATTTGAAAAATTTCATCTTGAAGAAAATAAAGTCGATCGGTTTGTTTTTTGGTGTATTTTCTAGGAATTTGGGCATTAAAAATTGATAATCAACATGATAATCATCTTGTTGTTGCATTCTTTGATCAAACAAGGTAAATTTTTTCTTTTACTTGTTCTTCTACTACTATTATTATTATTATTATTAGATTATTTCATTTACAACATGATGAAATCGAAGAAATTGAATTACCAGCATTTGATTTTCAACATCAAACATTATTTTGTACTAATGTTACATCTAATCAATATTTACAAGTAAAATTTTATGCGATTGGAAAAATAAATAAATTCTCATTTGATTAGATAACAACCTATTCAATACGTTTAATTGGTAATCATGGTCAAGATTTACTTATTGAATGGAAAAATGAAAATAATGAAATAACAGTTGCTTCATCAAATCAAACACAATGTGTATGTGCTATTGGAAATAAATTATTTTATTTTGAAATTGGTCCAGCAAGTTTAAAAGAAATTAAGTAAATTAAATTATTAATAACAAAAAGAAAAAAAGTGATTTTCAATTGATCTTTTTCTATTTTCAGTAAATGTCAATTACCACATAATATTGCTTGCTTAGACATAACACCATTAAATTCTCGAGATGAACGAACTGATCTTTGTGTTATTGGTCTTTGGACACAAATATCTGTTTGGATATGTCGATTACCAACACTTGATATTCTACATAAAGAGTTATTAACATCAGGTAAATTAAGAGTAAGAGTTTCTTGAAGGCATCAAGATTGGAGGTGGAGGTTAAATAATTTTTTCTGGGAATTGATGAGTAAGAAAAACAATTAAACGCTGAATAAAAACGAAGAACTTTCGAGATAGAGAAATCAATTCTCGCTGCACTCGAGATACTTCTGATAAAGAAGTGTTTGTTTTGTTTTAAGCAATTTAATAAGATATAAAAATTTAAAACATCCTCATTATGTTATTTTACTTTCAGACACATTACCACGATCAGTTGCAATGATAACATTTGATGGTCAACCCTATGTATTTGTTTCATTAGCTGATGGTCCTATTGTTTATTATTTACTTGATATTGAACGAGGTTTATTATATGAAAGAAAAAAAGTTCCATTAGGTACAAAACCCACAACATTAACTATTTGTCAACATACAGATTTATCTTCAACAATAAATAATTCACGTACTGTATTATTTGCTTGTAGTGATCATCCATCAGTAATATCATCAACAAATAATAAACTTGTTTTTTCATCTGTTAATTTACGTGAAATTGTTTGTATGTGTTCATTTAATTCAGAATATTATGGACCAAGTTTAACGTTAGTTACTGATATGGGTGTTATACTTGGTCGTATTGATGATATACAAAAGTTACATGTACGTTCATTAGTATTGGGTGAATCAGTAAAACGTATTGCTTATATGGATGAAGAAAAAATTTATATTATTTTAACACAATATATGAATTCATATCAAACAGATACAATTGTACCTATTAGTAAACAAGCATATCAAAAAATTGATTGTACAACAAAGATAGAAAAAATAAAGGTTTTGACAGAACAACAACAAGAAGAAAATGATGTTTGTAATTCAATTGTTGTTCTTGATCAACATACACATGAAGGTAAAGATTTATTTTATGATTAAAATTATAAGAAATTAACATTGAAAGATTGAATGAAACAATTTGATCTAATGACATTTTAGAATGTTAAGATAGAAAAAAAACTTATTCAACGATGAATTCAAAGAATTCAGTTGAAAAATTGTAGCAGAAATTCAAATAATCTAGAACAAAATCTCAGGCGAATCGCTTGCGTGTCTTGTTTTCTTAGTTCTAAATTTTCAATAAAAGAACTTCGTTTCTTGACTAACAAGTGTAAATATGATAATATCCAATGACGTATCTTTGCTACTGAATGATGAGACATGATTTTTTTTGTATTATTTTGACTAACTACAGTTATGATTAATAATAGATTGTGACTGTATCATTCATTTATTTATTTAGCTTTTCCTCAAGGGAAACGACGAACTCCTGGAAGTACAATAGGAATTCCTGGAATACAAAATTCACCGTTTGTCCTTTAGAGAAGTAGATCGGTTCTGGAGTGTAGACAAGAGCCCATGGGGTTAGGTTCAGGTCCGAAAATTTTGGATCCCATGGGTTATACTCTACACTGTAGTGTAACTAGAAAGTTATTTTGAATTCAGGCATAATTTTATGTTATGAGAAAATGTATTGCTGGATGCATATTTCAAAATTTTTTTCAAAAGAAGTATCGATACTTCTAAGAAGATCATTAATCAAAGAAAAGTTATTTTTTCTAATTTCTGTTTCGCTAAATGTTTGAAACTTTTACAAGAAGGATTAAAATTTATTTCGAGTATCTTAATTCCAATATAGAATTAAGTTTTTATACTCAATCTATTTTTTCTTCGATTACTTTTAGCTCATGCATCTGTTAAACTATTGAATAATGAAGAAGCAATTAGTTTATGTGTATTAACATTTGCTGATGATCCTTCAATACCATATATTGCTGTTGGTACAACAATCATATGTAATGATGAAGATGATCCAAAATATGGTCGAATAATTTTATTTCGTTATAAAAATGGTCATATGAATATGATTTCAGAAAAAGAATTGAATGAAGTACCACTTAAAATGTTACCATTTCATGGCAAATTACTGGTTTCAATTGGCAATGGAGTAAGAAAATTTATTTTAATAATATTTTTTTTTTTATTATTTTGATTAAATTAAATAAATATTTAGATTCGATTGTATACATTTTCATTAGAAAATCATGAATTAATACAATTATCACAAACATCTACAGAGTCTGTTGAATGTTTAGAATTAAAAGTTAAAGATGATTTTATTTTAACTGGTGATTTAATGAGATCATTAACAATTTTTCGTTATAATATTGATGAAAACAAATTTGAAAATGTAAAAAATCCTAATAGAATTTTATTTCTTTTTACTGAAGTGTATAATTCTGATTTGTAGATTGCACATGATCCTCATCCACAATGGACAATAGCATGTGAATTTATTGATGATGATGCATTTGTATGTGCAGAAGATGGAGGAAATTTAATATCATGTCATAAAAATAGTGGTTCAACAAAAGAACAAGAAAGAAATATATTAAATGAACTTGGATCATATCATGTAGGAGAAGAAATTAATTTATTTCGCCGTGGTAAATATAGTTCGTTATTATTATTTATTTTCTTTTGTTATTATCTCGTTTATAAACCTTAGCAATCAACGTCAGATTCATTCCTTGAGTTTCTTAGCAATGGAAAAGACGCTAGATAACATTGACGAACAGATATCGATTGTTCTTAACAGTTAAAAGCTTTCGTTGAAATTTGAATTACTAAAATATGCTTGTGAATATTCTAAATAGAGCAGTTTGTGATTTTTGTGCAGATAAAAATTTATATTCAAGGTGTCAAGGATGATAGGTACGGATGCATTAGTTTACCACGGTCATCAGATGCTCAACATAAAAAAAGCGTGAACTGATCAAGTTGTAATTTTATCAAATAAAGAATATTACTGTTTGTAAGCTTATCAAGATATATAATAGTGCATTGAGATGTGTTACAACTATAATGAATATGTACAACTGTTAAATCAATGTTCAGAATAATAATAATAATAATAATGTTAAATTAAGAAAAACCAAATACAAAAAAGAAAAATGACGAGCAAACAGCAGCAAGACAAGCAAAAAAATTTCTGTTCGATATTCAGAAATAAATAAGATATCGTTTTCATTGGAAAACAACTCTATAGTCTACTAGAGATTTTTGATGTTACGTATGTTGTATGAGTAATATGAAACTAAAGGACACATGTGAGTTTGATTCTTCAGCACTAAAGGAAATTTTGCTAACAAGTTTATTTTCTAAATCGATAGTTCAATATCACAAGAGTATTTTCTCAGATAATATCGAATAAGTGTAAGATTTGTTTGCATTTTCTTCAATCGATCTTTAACAAAAACTTCGATTGAAGAATTTACTCAAACTGCTTGAACGAAATACAGATATACGACATGATCTCCTGTCAATTGCGGTTCTACAAAGTAAATTTTTACATTGTCTAATTACGTACATATAGAATACGAATGTGCAGGGTCATATTTTGTCATACTCTGATTTAGAAAAAATTTTCTAACTTTTACTGTACCTTGTTCTGTAGGGTAAAGTAAAGTAACTCTGTATACCTCTAATATAGAATAAAACATTTGTATATGAATAAGTCATATTTTTTCAAATTTTCACAAATAATTTTTCTGAATTTAGGCAAAATACAAAAACAAAAATATTTTCATTAATAAATATTATCGTTTTAAAATCTATTGAATATTTCTTATAGGTTGTCTTGTTACACAACAAACAGCTGAATCGACAATTATCCTTGAAACATGTATTTTAATGGGTGCTGTATCTGGCTATATTGGTCTTCTTCTTCAATTACCACCAACATTATATAAATTACTTATGTCATTACAATTAAAATTAGCTGAATATGTTCCAAGTGTTGGTAAAATCGATCATAGTACATGGCGTTCATTTGATTCAGACGGACGTTCAAATGTTTCAAATGGTTTTATTGATGGTGACCTTATTGAAACATATCTTGATTTACCAAAAACTGTTCAACAGGAGCTTATTAAAGATTTACATGTATGTTTTAATTAATTAATTTCATTTGAAAATATTTATTTTTTCTAATTTATTTGTTTCATTTAGGGAGAAAATAACGTTTCATTGAATACAACTGTTGAAGAGCTAGTCAAAACAATTGAAGAACTTTCACGAATACATTGAACAGAATTTCAATTATAGTGTTTTCTTTTCTCTTTTTTCATATTGAATTCTTTTGCTTTTTTTTTGTTTGTAACCCTTGATTTGATTAAAAAAGCCAAATAAAAGGATCTCTTTTTTATTTAAAATAATTTATTTATCACCAACTTAGTCAACATATCATTCCGTTCTTTCGATGATTATGTCGATGTATGGACAACCTTCGGAATCAAACTCCAGCTCTAATATGATTTCAATGAAATTTCATACAGAAATAAAATGAAACATTTTTTCTAATGATAGTCACCTATGAAAGTAATGGTAAGTCATAAACATGACAGAACTATTATGACGTATAGATGAACATTGAAGATATGCAAAATTATTATAGGGCTTTTTTTCTTTTTTTTCGATTACGATCAATCAGCTCCCATCTCTAATTTTTTACATATGTATATGTATGTACATTCAGCCAACGAAAGTCATCTATCTGTCAAAAATGAGCAGTATATATATATATAAAAATGCGACGGTTCATTGAGTTATCGTTTATTAGTTTGTTTCGTTCATTTTGATTGCAAACTCTTACATCATTAGTATATATCGATTCATTTGTACACCTACATACATTTGAGTGCATTGTACTGAAAATATGATGAGAAAAAATGCTGCAAGTTTTTATCCGCCACCTTATAAAGCAACACCTTTCAATGGAATGCCCAATAATTTTGGTGTAGGACCACCTTCTGTTCCATCATTTTATAACTTACAACTTCAACACGGTCAACAACAACAACAACAACAACAACCAAAAAAACAACAAAGAAGTAAAAAGCATTTAATAAATGAACAAAATCATGATAATACTATTCCAAATATTCCTTCATTTAAATTGTATGATTTGGATACAAATGATAATAACGAAATAATTCGACTTATATTTTCATTTGCTGATGTTTCATATAAAAATAAACTTTTAACACAAGATGAATGGATTAGAATCAAAGAACATATGTTATTTGAACATTTGCCTATTTTACGTATTAATCATGATTTTAAAATTTTTCAATTACATGCTATAATACGTTATTTAGCAAGAGAATTTCATTTATATGGTACAGGTCAACATGATCATGCTATTGTTGATATTATTCATGAAACAGTTCGTGAATTTCGAGAAAAAATTTTTCAACAAAATAATAATTCATCAGCTAATAATGAACAAACATTACATCAATTAATAGCAGATCATTCAACAACATATTTAAAACAATTAGAAAATTTTTATGAAATATTTAATCGTCGTGGTCCATTTTATTTAGGTTCACATGTATCGTTAGCTGACTTAATTGTTTATGATACAATAAATCATTTAGTTAAAATTGATACAAAATTACTTGATAATTATTCTCATTTAAAAGACGCATATCGACGTTTAGAAAAACATCCAAGATTATCAAATTATATGAATATAAAAACGAATAATAATGAAATTCAAAAATATCATCATCATCATCATAGATCTCCACAATCACGACGTCATGCAACAAAATCACCTCTACCAAATATACCACCTCATCAACATCGACATCGATCACATGAAGGAAGTGAATCAGGCCATTATCATTATCATCATCACCATCACCATCATCATCCTCATCATCGACGTCATTCAAAAGAACCAACACCACTTTTACAAACAAAACAACGATCAATGATATCATCAAAATCACCTACTATTTCAAGAAAAGAGATAGAACCACCACCGCCAATCCCACCAACGAAACAACAACTAGTGAGATCATCACAATCACCTAGAGTTTCAACGAAAGATATAGAATCATCACCACCAATTCCACAAACCAAACAACGACCAATAAGAACATCAAAATCTCCTAGTAGTTCAAGAAAAGATAAAGAACCAACACCATTACGAGCAACTGATGTTATCCCACCACCGCCACCACCACCAATACCACAACCACCACCGCCCCCATCAATTATTAATGAACATAAAAATTAATCTACGGATAATGGATTCTTTATATAAACGGTTTTTTTCTTTAGTTAAACAAATAAAAGAGCAGAAAAAAATGTTCGTATGTTCTTTTTTTTTTCTTATCGATAACCTCGCCCATGACAATCATCACATATTTGAGTACTTGTTTTACGACCATAGCCATTACATGAACAATGTCTTGTATAATTCGACCAAGTTCCTTGATCTTGACATCGACATGAAGTGCATTCTTCTTCAATATAAAGTCGTCCATGACCTGAACATTTCCAACAACGTACTCTAGATGCACCTCTTTCTGAACCACTATTTGCATCCGCTATAAAAGTGCTTAATGCTGCAAGTCGTGTCGGTTGACTGTATTCGGCACCCATATTAACTGAAAAATTCATTAACAGAAAGTTATTTATATACAAATGTTTGGTTTTTATACGCACATGTGCTCATAGCAGGAATCCTATAATTATTCGTCGTAAAAATAATAGGGAAAAAACAAAGATACTTGATAAAATAGACGTGCTAATAATTTGATTTTTTTCAAAGGTGACTGTTCTATTCAAGATAACAGTAAACTTTCGATTATCACGCGTCAAATATTAATATATGTTATTTTTCATTTATGCTAAAATAACTTTAAATGATCGAAAATTGACCTACATAACTTTTATTTACTATATTCTATTTGTTAATTTATATTTTGGACGTATTCTATAGAGCAGAATTTTACATATAAAGTACTGTGAAATCTTGTATCATCAAATTCAAAATATTTATTTTTGTTTATATTGATAAATATTAATCGTTAAGTTTGACAATGTCTATAGTCGATAGAAATTTATTCAAAAAATTGTTTTTCGCGTGATATACATACAAAAACAAATTTCGATATTAATAATTTGTACGTATGAATATATAAAAAATTTCGAAGAGAGAAAGGGAGATTCATTTATAAGATATAATCAAATCATGAAGAAAAAAGGTCTAACAAAAGGTGTAAAACATATCAATGAGATATTATTTGATGATATATTTATATCCCAAAAATATTGATTAAATCAATCGAAAGAAAAAAAAATTGAAACATTTAAAATAACAACAGATCTAAAATTCTTTTTCTGTTTTTTCTACTGCAATATCATAATGTCCATCATTTTCTTGATTATATGCTAATGTTAATACAGATAAAGATTTCGTTGATATTAACGGTTCATCTTGTGGACACACATCAATTAATGGACATTGACTAAGATTTGTTATTATTTTAATATTTACTCCAATTAAATTACTTATTGTTAATGGTAATATATCACCCAAAATTGATGAATAAAATTTATCCGAACGAAATTTTCGTATTTCATCATAATAATTAACATCATTAATATATGGTTTATATTTTTTATGATTTATTTTCCATTCTAAACAAACTAATTTACGTAATGTACGTGCTAATTGTGTAATATTTGTAAATAAATTCTCAGGAAGATTTAAACGTTTTTTAATGGCTATACGAAAATGACGATCTTGATTATATAATGTTATTAATTGACTAGCAATAGCAGTAAAAAAACAATTTCCATCACCATCAACTAATTGTCGTCGATAACCATAACGTGAAAGATTTAAATCTAATTGTTCTTCAGCACTTAATGGTGTTAGAGATCTTTTTATTGGAGATTTTATTCTTTCTTTTTGTATTAATTCATTTGAATAGGATTTTATTTCATTTGTTTGTTGATTTATTGTTTTTATTGGAAGTATGTATTTAGTTTGATATGGTTGAGAATATGTATATGATAATATAGGTGTTTGTAAATAAATAATCGATGGTTGAGATCGGATGAAATTTAATAAAATATTATTATTATTATGATTATTATTATTACTATTATTATTATTAGTTGGTTGAATATAAAAATTTTCAATTGTATAAAGCATTTGGTCTTATTTTATATTGCTTATTTTATGTTTATTATATTGGTGGTATATAAGGTTGAACAAAAAAGAAGAGAATATGAAGAGTCAGTGTCACGGTCGAATGAATGAGTATGCAACATGAAAACCGTGTGACATATATGAGCAAGGTCTTTTTAATCATTGTTGAAGTACATGTACTGATCATACATATTTCTTTAGTCACGTGAAATACTTTATGGTGATCTTAATAGGATCAATGGGGTACAAAAGATATTAATTGAAAACAAAAAGATTGACTTAATGTTAATAAATATTGTAATTTTGTTAGTGTAAAAGCAAAGTTTTTTTTCTCGTTTACTATTTATACAACACGTTTATCAGTAGTCGGAAAAAAGAATTATGATGTTTAGATATATTTTACATTTTTGATTTGTTCTTCGAGAAGTGACCATGATGAATAACATGTGTATTATAAAGAATTTAAATAATGACAATCGAGGTAATTCTTAAGTTATATGTTTGCTATCCGTCGTATATATATATATAAGCAGAAGAATGATGTTTATAGATTCATGTTCATTTTATCGACTGTTCGCGATCTGTTGTATTGATTTTATTTTTCGATCTTTTGCGTGATAACAATAATGGTTAGTCTTGTTATGTCTATTTCTATATTTATTTTTCACTTTGTTTGTATAGTTTTCGCTCAGGTTTGTCTTACTTTTACTTTTTATCTTACATACTAATGGTCGTATTATCAGTACAAGTAATTATTACGAAAAATTCTTCGTTTCTTTTTGTTTTCTGAATAATTTCTTATCTTTTAGAGACTTTAAATTCAACTAATCTAGAAAACAATGATTCAGTTGACAAAGTTTCTGTTATTGAAGAAGAACAAAATGAAGAATTAATATCATCACCTGAGACGTATGTTAACATAGCCTCTTCTAACTTTACTTATTAATTATACTTTTTTAGTGAAAAATCTCAATTAATTCAAGTTAAATTAACAGATGTTCAACGATGTTCGTAATAATACTTTGTTTTTCATTCATTGAAGTTTTATATTTCGTTTTGCTTATAGTACTATCGCCATGTATTGGTGCTTATCCATCAAAAAAACTTGCATATTCAAAAGATAAAACAAAATATATTCAATGTCGTGACGAATTTCATTATGAAATTGTATCATGTTTAAATGGTGGTGAATATAATGCAGAAACAAATTCCTGTGATCTTATTATTACAATGATTAATAAATGTGAAGAAGAAAAACCATGTTTAAATAATGGTCATTGTATAGCACGATTAAATTCAACATTTAAATGTATTTGTCATCCAGATTGGACTGGTGATAGATGTGAAATACCGATAAACTCATGTGTAAAAGAACCTTGTGGACCAAATGCTTCATGTCGTACATTAAAAACGATTGATTATGAGCAAGATTATGTTTGTATTTGTCATCAATCTGAAAGTTATGGTCTTAATTGTCAAGAAGGTATATTAATTAGTTTTATTTTCATTATTTTAAAAAATATTTCCTTTTTTTTTTCAGTTGTACCTAATCCATGTTTAACAAGTAATGAACAATTTTTTCCATATGCATTTAGTCAACGTGCTTATATTCACTGTGATGGTGAAATTATTAATTTTCAACCATGTAGTGCATTACTTTATTGGAATCAAGAAGAAAAAAATTGTAATCGTAAACGACCAACAAAAGTTATTTTACCAAAATTAAAAAAAAAATTATCATCAAAATCTAAAAAGAATAAACAAGAAGAGAAGATTATAGAAAACATTAATCAAGAAATAATTACAACGACTGTACAAATTGAACAAAAAAAGTAAGAATAAAAAAAAATGAAATATTTTCGCGTCGTTTCAATCAAATTGTTTGGTTTTTTGGTTCGTGGTAGAAGGCAAAGGGAAAAACGCTGATTCTGTTGATTACAATACTTCTAGCCATTGGAATATGAAAGGAAAGTTATCGTTGCTTTACCAAGCAGCAGGTAACTGATGATATTACCCGATAACGTAACGACACTATTACCAAATACCGAGGAACGGAAAATTCTTGGATTTGTAGTGCTATTTATGACCTATCCTGTATTTTCTTTTTGAAAGAACTTTTATTCATTTTTGAATATTTTATTTGTTCAATAGAAAAGAAGAAAAAAATTATGATTCTTCGACTTTTATTCCAACATCAATAGTCAATACAGAACAATCACAATCGAATATGAATACTCAACAAAGTAATAACTAAATATTCTATTTAATATTATTCAATACTTGTTTGTTTGTATTTTGTAGTCCCTTTAACTCAAAATGTACCTGAAATAAAACAAAAAACTTCAGATTTATCAGGTATATCTTTTCAAAATTTCCTACATAAAATTCATCAATCATTTATATAGAACCATTATTACAATCAGTAGATTCAAAACATATTCATCAAGACCTACAACCTGAAAATACCACACCACTTACTATTCAATCAGAACAAAATGAATCATTGTCACAAACTAGTATGTTTCATATTTAAACTAAAAAATATAAAACGATTTACATAAATTTCGGCATAGGTTCAAAATCCTCTTATTAGCTTCCCTAAAACAACCAGAAAGCTGGTACACTCCGTTGTAATCACTTAACAGCATAAAACATAGTGCTGAGCAGTCTATTTGGATATTATCAGAAGAAGTATAGGCTTTTTATAAAGACTAATGAGATGAGTTTCGTACCGAGTTGAAATTTTCACCTTCAATTTAACCTCATTCTTTCACCGTGACAACCATGCTATGAAATTTGCAGTATATATATGTTTGAAATGTATTGATTAAATTTCAAATTAATTCTATGTATCATATCAAATACAGACAATACTGCTAAATCCTTCCTTTTCAAAAGCAAAACGACTCCAATAAATTTTTAATTTGAGTTTCGTAGCCATTGATATAATGAATAATAAAATAAACCTACTCATTTGATATTCAATTGTAGCTCAACAAGAATTAATATCAACTTCAACAGAAGCATTATCTACAAACTCTTATATTGATCAATTAGAAATTCAACAAGAAAACGAACAACAAAGTACTTTTCATTTAAACTATTCAAATATAAGTTTATTTATTTAGATCTTCCACAATCAAATCTAACTTTTACTACTGACCAGTGGCTACGTAAGTAACTTTAAAAATTTTTTTTTTTGAAGTAAAAACTTCCCAAAAATTAGATCAAATACCAGAAACAACAACACAAAATGATGAACCTATTTTTCCTCAATCAGGACAAGGTAAAACTCTTCTTTATGCAACATCCATATATTTGTCCCATTGATTAGATTCTTATACTACTCAAGACCAATCACAATTTGAAGGTATTATCTTTCTTTCAATTAAATATTGAAAAGTAAATTCTATTGAATGTTATAGATCAAAACCAACAAGAATTCGTTGAAACAACTACACAACATAATGAACCTAGTCTTCCTCAAACAATACAAGGTAAAATTCTTCTTTACAAAATATTCATATACTTCTTATCATTAATAAGAACCTCATATTACTCAAAATCACCAACAATTTGAAAGTATAAACTTTTCTTTCAATTATATACTGAAAGATAAATTCTATTGAATTTTATAGATCAAAATCAACAAACATTTGTCGAAACAA